ATCGTTGGCCTGTTTGTGGAGAGGAGGTGGTGGCTCTCCCTCAGTAAGTGAAGTTGCAGGAGGTGTGGGTGTAGTTGTATCTTATGGGGACTGTTGCTGTCTCCCACTCAGTTAGACAAAAATTACAACTGAATAACCATCAAAAAACTAAAAGTACATGGACAAAAAATACACCATGTAATCAAACAGGAACAAAAACTGAAAAAAGAAAAAAGGGAAAAAAGAAAATATAAAAAACAAGAAAACCTGCAATATCTGGGGTAGGACACTAAGAGAAAAAAAGTAGAGAAGGAGAATAATGTAGAAAACACGGGAAAAATGCAAAAATAAAAACAAGGAATGGGGTTAACTGTGAGATAAAAGGAACAAAAATAAATTATTAATTAATTTTTTTTTTTTTTTAACCAGGACAGGGAAAAGAAAAAAAAAGCTGTATACTAGGACCTGGGAGGGGAAGAATAAAGAATAATAGTGAAAGGGACAAAAGTATTCATAATAATAGTAGGTTTAAAATAGACAAATACAAGTAAAGTAAACACCAGAAAAAAGAAAGAGAAAAAGAAAAAAAAGAAAAAGAAAAAAAATTGGTGGAGGACAGTGCAGGGCACCCAGGCTCCGTCTGAGCACACAGACTGGGATGGTATTCCTGTGGGTCCAGAAGGTGGGTGGGAGTAGGGGATGGCCACACCTCCTTTCACCAAGTGGGTGTGAGGTATAAGAGTTACAAGAGGAATGCTACACCTTTTCAGTCATAGAGGTCCTGAATGTCCTTGGGGTTACTGCCAAGCTGAACCTGTTCTTAAGTCCCTGGAATCTTGGAGAACGCTGTCTCTTTAAACATCCAAAATGGTCAAGCTGCTTGTAAACTTTCAAAATGGCGGCACCCTCCGGACAGGCAAAAGTCCACAGCCAAGCCCGTCTTCCTTTTTACCACTGCTTCCCCTTTTATTCCACAGTCACCAGAGCAGTCCTCCGTGTAGTCTCTGGCTAGCAGGGCTGATTTTTAGGTTAATTCTTAGGTCCTACCACCACTCGGGAATCTCCAAGCTGTCTGTGCTGTCAGGATTGTTTAGGATCGCTGCCAGACTGCAGCTCCATATGTTTCCTTTTCTGGTCATGCAAATTCTTCTGCTAGTTGGGGTTTAGTCCACTTCTATATCCTTCCCTTCAAGGCTCAGGGGTCCAGGATTATCTTCTGTGTCTGGGTTAATTGGTTCTCCTTTTTTTTGTTGAAGAGGGTCTGTGTAGTCTTTCTGCCTATTCCGCCATCTTGGAATCCCGAGCCTGCAAAAGACTTCTTAAAGTGTTATGGAGCAAATGTCACTTTGAACACTAAGGTGTATTTAACTCAAGCTGAGGTATTTTCAATTTCTTCATATGCATATGAAAGCCGTATAATGAATGAGTAAGATCAAAGAACAACTGATGCATTTGAATTGTGGTCTTGGTGAAGAATACTGAAAATATTATGGACTTCCTTCCAGAAGAACAAACAAACAAATCTGTCTTAAAAGAAGTATAGATGGAATGTTCCTTAGAAGTGAGAATGGCTAGACTTGGTCTCACCTACTTTGGTCATGTTGTCAGAATGGACCATTTCCTGGAGAAGGACATGATGCTTGGTAAAGTGGAGAGTCAGTGAAAAGGGGGACCTCAAAGAGATGGACTGACACCATGGCTGCAATGATGGGCTCAAGCATAGCAAGAATTGTGAGAGTGGTATAGGACTGGGCAGTGTTTCATTCTGTTGAATACAGGGTCACTATGAGTTGGAGCCAACTCAACAGTACCCAACAACAACAATAACAAAGAAATGTGTACATATATGCAAAAGACAACACATAAAATCTTTCATAGAAGAAATATGTCTAATAGTTGCAAACTGAAAACCACCCATATACACCATGATCAGTTTAACAGATAAATAAATTGTACTATAGCCATCAAATGGAATACTAAACAGCCATGAACAAAAATGTAACTACATGCAAGAACATGGATGAATTTCATCACAAAATATTGAAAGAAAGAATCCAAGAGTATCTTTTATAATTTTTTCCTATTTTAGAAGAAATTCTGAAACTTCTGTGTCTATCCTGCATTATGTTGTGAAATTGCTGTAAAATCTTTGGCCTCACTACAGTGTAAATGGCTGCCTTACCCTGTGTCTCCTTAATGATCTCTTTTTTGAGTGTAAATCTACTGCCAATGCTGTTTTGTTTTCCACTGCTTCTTATGTTGGTCACATTCAGCTCTCCAAATTTTCTTTTCTTTTTTCTCCTTCCCTATCTCCCTCACCATGTCTTTCAACTGAGTGGGATTTGGGGCTCATAGCTATCCCTCCTTCCAATTAGCAAGCTAGGCAAACAAATTGTATTTGCTGAGATTCTTAGCATTTTGGGACTTGGTCAGTGAAATAAGACACTCCATTTTCTCTGTGTAAAAGAACACTTACTTAATGCTTTCTTAGCTTATGGGACCATTATGGAGCATAAATGTTCAATGACTACATAGAATTCTGTTTCTTGGGCATGATCACCAGAACAGTGAAGCATATAATCTTTATAATATAGATTTCTAGAATCAATTCCCTCTTACATCACTCCAAGGAAGTGGCATTAGATAATTACATCTGAGAGATGGAGATGGAAGGGAAGTGCCTAAAACTGTACACCGGCTTAGGATGCTTTTTCTAGGAAGTGTTCCATAGTTAACCAGTAGCAGAATGAGTTTCAGTGCAGAAATGTCTTTTTTTTTTTTTTTTTAAAGTTAAAGAGTGTCACAGGCAGGTGACTAAGGAGGTCCATTTGCAGAAGATTGTGCTTGATACCTACACAAAACCATTTTAGAATTTTTTAAGGATCAGTGTCTATATGTGCAATAATTGCACAGTGTTATTAGTTTGGCCCATTAAATATGTCACTGTGCACAAGTCTGAGGGAAACTGAAGGATGTCAAGAACATGGATTATTCAAAACAGAAGCACTTTAAAGATAAACTGAAATGTTTCTAATTTATATTACCCTGTGCCAGCTTATCTCCCTAAATTTTGCTTTTCTTTTAACATTTGAACATTTAAAAATATATAGTAAAATACAGAAGATAAATAGAGCAAATACTGTACTAGTTTTTTTTTTAAATAAATATTTTTTTATAGCTTATCCTTATACTTTTCAAAGTAGTCTGAACTAAAGGTACTTCCTCAGAGAATTACCAACCACCTGATAAAGTTGAGATGCTTGAAAAATGATAATTGCATTGTATGGGTTTCTTAACATTATTCTTTATCAGTTCTTATGTATTTTACTTCCAATTTGGATCTCCTAATGAGTTGTATGTTAGGTTCCAAAAATATTCATTTGTTGTGTCACTTATTTTAGGAGCTCTGGTGGTGTAGTGCCTAAGGCATTTGACTGCTAACCAGAAGGCTGGCGGTTCAAACCCACCAGCCACTCCTCAGAAGGAAGGTTGGACAATCTACTTCCGTAGGGATACTGCCTTGGAAACCCAAGGAGGTGTGGCTATGAGTCGAATCCGACTCAATGGCAGTGAGTTTGGTTTGGTTTTGGTTTTATCACTCATTTTATCTGATACACAAGCCAGCGTTTGAAGTATATTTTAGCAAAGAGAAACAAGTGATGATCAAAGCACTGTTAAAGTAAGCTGGATATCACTTATTTTATTTAGTGCTAATGATACACCAGGAGCTCTGGGGGCACTGTGGTTAAAGCATTGGGCTGATCACCAAAATCCTCTCTGTGGAAGAAAAATGAGGCAATCTGCTTCTGTAAAGATTTACAGCCTTGGAAACCCAATGGGGCAGTTCTACTCTGTGGTAAAAAGTCACTATGAAGTCAGAATTGACTTGATGGTGGTGGGTGTTTGGGTTTTAATGATGAATAATGTATGAATTTTAAGGAGCTCTGGTGGTACACTGCATAAGGCATTTGACTGCTAACCAGAAGGTTGGTGGTTCAAGCATGCCAGCTGCTCTGTGGGAGGAAGATGTGGTAATCTACTTCTGTAAAGAGTTACAGCCTTGGAAACCCAATTGGGGTCAGTATGAGTTGGAATTGACTCCATAGCAGTGGGTTTGGCTTTGGTTTTTAAGGTATGAATTTAATCCTAAATGTGTTTATTAGCTTTTCCTAGAGATACACTTCTGGCATCAAAGCCTCTACCTTCTAACCCTGACTAACCACCTGTAAAATATAGGCATTAGTTACTAAGGAAAGCTACTAAAGATTCAAGTGGGACAGGAGAAAATCTCACCTCATTACCAGGCAAAAAATAGGTAGCATTTAAAGAATGCTTATTGCATGCCAGTGCTACTGAATTGATTCTAACTAAAGGAGACCCTATGTGTATCAGAGTAGAATGGTAGAGCCATGAGTTGGAGTGGACTTGACAGCATCTATTGGTGGCAGTGACAGTACATACATCTAAGTGTTTTACATCTACTAACACACTGAATCCTTACAATAACCCTTTGAAGTAGGCTTCATTAGTATCTTTATTTTACAGAGGCACTGAAAGGTTAAGTAATTTGTCTAAGGTCACACAGCTACTAAGAAACTGATACAGTATTTAAAGCTAAACAGCCTAACTCTAGTCTTCATGCTCTTAACTTTGTAATACTGCCTCTCAATAGAGCACCAGCCACCGACCTTAAAAGTGTGTCAACGTAAGAGCATTATCATATTGCTTCAGCATTTTCAAAGCATTTGTGTAACTGTTAAAATATTTAGTAAATGAAAGCTGGACTGAATCCTTACCCAACATCTGTATTATCTCTATAAATGAGATGCAGATTATTTAAATTTTCATATTTCATACCAGTTTTTCCCAAGAGCATTTTACTAGGTTAGCACACAGGTAATGTTCACTCCTGGGAGACAGGCACTAAGATTTCCTGCCTTCCTCAGATACTCCAAGATGGATCACACTGAAAATCTGCCCATCCCATATTCTTTGTAGAATTTCACATTTCCTCTCCTTACCTGAAAAGGCAAAGAATGATACTTCCGGTTGTAAGGGAAATCAGAGAGACACTGTACCCCAGGGTGTAAACAGCCTTCACCAGAATATAAAATGTGATCTACGAAAAAAAAAAAAAAAAAGAAAAAAAAGAAAAAGGTTCTGTAAGCTCTTGGTGATGAGCATTGACAAACAGGTATATTACCCAGACCTGACTGCACTTCTCTTTACAAAGGAATCTCCTTTTCTCTATTGCCTGAGATTGCACGAGACAGTCTGTATTATTTTATACTCTTACCTACATTCTGAATCAAAAAGTATATTCAGCACCTTTTTTTTTTTTTCTCATCATTTGTTATGAATGACCTCGGATGGTTTCTTTGAAGTGAAACTCTTAGAAGAAATATGATTTGCCACCTCAAGGAAAGTCAAAGGAAGGCAGCCAGGTGCCAAAATAAGTTTCAAAAGGGGAGCTCCAAAGCTGTGGTCTGCAACAGTGGGACCTTCAGAATGAGTTTAGCCTTTCAAGGTGCATTTGTAGGACAAAGCCCATGTGGATGCACAAGTTTGAGCGTATTGTATTAAAAAAATATCACATTACTTTATAGGCACAAAGCAGAGATCCTTGGATAAAGGGAAGCTACTAATATAGAACCAGTGGTTGAATGAATGGCAGTCTCTTGCAATTTTTATTTTCTTAACATCACTTGGGGAGCAGGCTTCATGGCTTGATACTTTTATTCCCCGTGAAATGATCATCAGCAACAGAAAGGGTTTAGTAATAAGCATTGTGACAGATATATTAAAAATGGTATTATAATATGAAGTCATACAGAGAATAAAAACAGGCCCTCTAGAGTAGTAGAATAGAATAATATCACTGCTGATCATGATAAATCTAGCAACATCTTTAAAGGTATAGTTATTCATGATTCCTAGAGATATCTCCTGGTTTAGATTTTTTCTTGATGAAAAGATCTAATTCCTATAAAATAGAGTAAGTAGAAAAACAATACATATGTTCTTACACAATGCATTGTATTTCTGCCAAAGCATATTAAGAAATCTCCATAAGAAGTATGAAACCTCATTGCTATTTTACAATAAAAAATTCAAGCAAGACAAAGAAAGCTACACTTATGTTTATTAGTTGTGCTCTGAATTATAACTTTACTGTTTAATCATTACTTTGAAGTAAGACTACACTTTTATTTAAATTGTATAGACTCTCCTGTGGGCACTGGGGTACTGCTTAGATAGGGTACATCATATGTGCAGAATGGGAAGTCATGCCAGGCTGCCCATATTCAGTTCTTTTCCTCCTCTCCCTAATCTACCTCTTCCTTCTCCTCCTCATGAGATTTCATTACAGTGGGATGAGGGTGGTCTGATCCCTTACACTCACGTCGTCTTGAATTCTGGCACTGCCAACCATTTGGGATGTGCTCTGTGTCATTAAGAATACACATTTCTCGCTCCTGCAAATGCAGCTCAAAAGCCAGTTCCACTAATGGACCTTCTATGGATTTTGCAACAGAATAAAATATATTTATTTATCACAATACAATACAGAGTGTTATTTGGGTCTTCTTATTAAACTGATCCCTCTCCACCCTGGGTCCTCTCTCCTTAAACAAGAATATGTTATTGCATTTCTTCACACATCACAACTATAATGGAGAGAAGGAGCTCTGGTGGCGTAGTGCCTAAGGCATTTGGCTGCTAACCAGAAGGTTGGTGGTTCAAACCCACCAGCCACTGTATGGAAGGAAGACGGGGCAATCTACTTCTGTAAAAATTTACCACCTCTGAATTGACTCAATGGCAATGAGGTTTTTTTTTTTTGGTATTGTATAGAAGCTTCATGGGTAGGGATTAAAGTTGAATGAATGAAGGAATCGAAGGGAAGATGAAAGAAACTTGAATAGGAAGTTAAGCGACTTCTGGATCAGCCAAATTTAGATTCATTATGAGTAGGGATTTTGACAAATGAAAATGAATGCTAAAAGAATTAAAGTATCTTGCAGATAACATACTATACAAAACATTGTTCCACCTCCTACTTTGATGAGTAGCGACTGGGATCTTAAAAGCTAGCAAGCTGCCATCTAGATGCAACGATGGGTCTCTCCTCATCAAGAGCAAAGAAGAAAGAAGAAAACCAAAATTAATGGAAACAATCCATCCTAGCGACTGATACACCATCCAATCTGCAACCTATACAACTATGAGACCAGAAGAACTAGATGGTGCCTGGCAACCACTGTCATCCACTTGGAAGGGATGTAGGCGATCCTGGATAGAAAGGGAGAACAATGTGGAACAAAACTCAAAATCATTTGGAGGGGAAAAAAAAAAAAAGATGATGGGGACCAGATTTGCTGGTCCAATAGAGCCTGATGGAATCACTGAGACTATGGCCCCTAGCTGCCCTTCAGGTCTGGAATTGAACCCATACCTGTGGTTTCCAGCCAAACAAAATACAGGCATGTGAGTTAAACATTTACCTCAAGTAGACACACGCCCTGGAGAGAACAATCATGGGAGAAAGAAGGGCTGCTTATGCACCAGGGGACAGCTCAGGGGGCAGGAGAGTATGGAGGGATGGACACTGGGAAGAGGTAACTATGGGGAGGAAGTGGGAGGGGAACTGTTGCATTGTGGTAAACTGTGGTCAATGACATGAGACAAAGTATATGTGAACTCCTGTATGGAAAGTGAATTTGCTCTGTAAATCTTCACCCAAATCACAATAAATAATAATAATAAAAATAAAGTATCTTGCAGAGGCAGCAGAATATGCAGAATATGCCTGACAATAAATTGCTTGATGTAGGAAGCCAGGTCTTATGTGGATCAGCACCTGGGGGAGGACCTAGGCAGGCCTGGAGTTCTCTAGGGCCATCTCCAAGATGTGCACAATAATACTGGGGCCAGACGTTTTTCTCACCATCCCTGCAAAGCAGTCAGTTCACAGAAAGCTTAACCACAGGGATTCAAGCCCACTTGTCAGAAACAGGTCTCAAGGTCTTTGGTTCAGTGGCAAGTGGCCCTGCTTTTACTTATCCTGACTTGGAGAATTACTCATTGACCACTGATGTATCACATATGGAGTCTACTGTATTCATTAGGCCCCACCTCTGCCTGCTCATGGCCTGTAAGGGGGCTCAGTTCCTTTCTCTAGTCATTACCAGAACCAGTTGTTATGGAGTCCACTCTGACTCATGGATAATCCATGTGTGTCAGAATAGAACTGTGCTCTGTAGATATTTTGATGGCTGATTTTTCTGAAGGAGACTGTGAGGTCGTTCTTCCAAGGTACCTCTGGGTGGACTTGAACCATCAATCTTTTGGTGAGCAGCAGAGTGCATTAACGTTTGCATCACCCAGGGATTACATTACAGTAACATCTCTAGTTAGACAAGGGCCTTGGAGCTCACAATTTGATTATTGGATTATATGTATAGGTGTATAACCTACATGTATAAGAACTGCTCATTTTTTGGATGGCAGGAAGGACTTTTTATTACACCCTGAAGAAAACAACTTTACTTATCTCTTCTTCATAAATTTATAGATCTGGCTTGACATCCCCATGTGGGGACCTGATGATTTAAAACATCATAGACTCTATCCTCATTATTCATATCAAAATTTGCCTGACCCCAGAGAGCCACTGGGGGCAGAAGAAATTATCTCTTTGCCTCAGAATCATTTCTGGTCAAGAGTATCTGTTCCCTGACAGCCTGACTGTAGAAGATAAGCTAGGAGAACTCAGATAATTACAAAATAGAGATGTTACAGAATCTCGAATGATTCCTTAGTGAACCGAGAAGAATTTCTTACCTGTCCTTAGTGCCTACTTTCTAAAGAGGGAATGATTTGATGTGGAAGATAATTCCATTCAAAATAGACATGTTATTTCTTTCTTTCTTTCTCATTAGTATTAGGGCCTTAATCATAATTTTAATAAAAGTACCAGGAAGGTATTTCTGCTGCCTTTTCTCTTTGCCACCCCCAACCTCCACAGCCATTTTGTACCCTCTTTGCCCTGCTGACTGCAACCAACACCAGGGCTGCACAGTCTCTGACTGTGGGTTGATTCTGGGCAGTTGGGGTTCAGGCAACGATCAGTGTGCAGGAGGCAAGAGAGCAGGTTTTATTTGTTTCTCTGCTTCCTCTCTGTGTTTCAGCAGTGACTACTTTTTTTCCAAGCCACAGCCACTGTTGGGTGGCCCCTCTACAAAAGCTGCAGCTTGTACTGGGCTCTGGTATCATTGGTCCCTTCCTTTTTATCAAAGTGGTAGTAATGACTTCCCACAGATGCTGAATGGTGGTGGCTACATATTTCTCATTGGTTCTCATCTACTCTACTGCTCTACCAGTTAAGGAATTCTTAACTGGTGGTGCAGTGGTTAAGGAATTTAGCTGCTAACCAAAAGGCCAATGGTTCAAATCCACCAGCTGCCCCATGAAAGAAAGAAGAGGCAGTCTGTAAAGATATACAGCTTTGGAAACCCTGTAGGCATCACTATGAGTTATAATTGACTCAATGGCAGTGAGTGTGGTTTGGTTTGGTTCTACCAGTTGCTGTAGAATTGATTCCAACTCATGATGACCCCACAAATGTTAGAATAGAACTGTGCTCCATAGAGTTTTCAATGGCTGTTACCTTTAGAAGTAGATTGCTAGGTCTTTCCTCTGAAGAGCCTCTGATGGACTTGGAACCTCCAACCTTTGGTTAGCCACTAACACATTAACTGTCTGTCACCCCCTTAATTCCACTCACACCTCTGGTAATATTCCCTGCATTAAGCTCTTTTTGGTTTTAACTTTTACATGTACCCACAATTTCCTGCTAAGTCTGTGAACTGATACAGTGTTCTTAATGCATGCACTATAAATTTTGTGATGAACTCAAATCCAAATAAAAGAACATTAGAAACTGCTTTCCAGCAGTAAGATTTTAGAAGAAATATATATATAATAAGAAGCAAGAAAAAATATCAAGGACTTGTTATAGTTTCTTGAATGTTCTATACTCTTCCTAGTCTCAGAGTCTGTTTGTTCCCTCTGCCTAAAGTGCCCTAACTCCCAACTGCCAATGGTTCTTGAGGGCTC